GGCTCATTTTGCTGTAGCAGTGCCACGATGGGTGATGGGGAGAGGGGGACGCGGGACATGGGGCCACGGTGCTGCCCACAGCAGCTTTTCCTTCCTCCTCCGCAGCTGCATTAAAAAGCTGAGCCGCTGTTTGGGGTTTTTTTTTTCCCCTCCAGCGCAGTTTTGGCATTTCTCTGAGTCATCACTTCTTGCTAAAAGTAGACAGAGTTGGGGGGCGGGGAGAGCCCAAATTTTTCTCATCTTCTCCCAGGATCTCAGCCTGGGCAGGGCAACGCAGCTCCCTCCACCTTCAAAATCAGGGCTGCTGTGGGGACTGGGTTCTTCCCAAAATCCACCCCGTGAAGGCAGAGCTGCTGGGGCCCCAGTCCCTTCCAAACCCCTCCAGACTGGGCATTGCAAATACCGCGGCTAAAGGCATTCGCCTGCTCTTTTTTCAGCCTGGCACGTGCCCCGTTTGCGGATTCAACTTGACCGAGCGGCATTTGAAAACGGCACCGGGCTAACGCGATGTATTTGAGCCGCACAGCTTGTTTCTATCTTTAAAAAGTCCCACATTGGCCTTTGAAGGGTGAGGGGGAAGCAAAGCTGCTGGTGGGAAAAAAAAAAATAAAAAAAAAAATTAAAAAAAATTCCCCAAGCAGCAAGAAGCAGGCAATGAAAGGAAACAGAACCACTTCTGCTGTGCGAGCGCCTCCGAGGCAGCGGGCGGCACGAGGGCTGCTGCAAGGGCCGAGAGCGAGCAGAAAGCACTGGCTATTTTTTATTTTTTTTTTTTTGTCCAAATATATGAGTTAACAGTCAAAACACGGCCTCTCATCAAGTGACACGAGGCAGCAGTGAGGCAGCAGAGGAGGGGAGATCCATGCCACGGGAGGGGGGTGCTTGCCCCTCCGGCAGCGAGCTCAGTGGGAAGGGGGGATGCTCCGGGAGAGGTTTGGTGTACAAAGAGCCCCTTTGCTTGTCTCACTTCTGTTGCCCAGTGAACCCTTTGCTATCCCACCACAGCACAATGACCCAAGACATGGGAAATCAGCTGGAATCACACAATCACTTCGGTTGGAAAAGATCATCGAGTCCGAGCATAAACCTAACACTGCCAAGTCCACCACTAAACCACATCCCTAAGTGCCACATATACCGGGTTTTTTTAAATAACTCCAGGGATGGTGACTCCACCACTTCCCTGGGCAGCCTGTTCCAATGTTTGACCACTCTTTCAGCAAAGAAATCTTTCCTAATATCCAATCTAATCCTCCCCTGGCGCAACTTGAGGCCGTTTTCTCTTGTCCTATCACTTCTTACTCGGCAAAAGAGACCGACCCCCACGGCAATGGGGACGGAAACGGCACAAACATAAATGTGCTTGGTTGGCAGATGCTTTTCCTGAACACGTCTGAGTGCTTCGAAGGAGCAAGAAAGGCCCCAAAAGCACCAGGCACCCCAAGCAACCAAGGTGATGCCAAGGTCTTTGCTCTCAGCAATGCCACGACGCTGCCTGGGAGCACAGTCCGGGGGGGCTGGGCCAGTAAAGCAGGAGCTGGAGTTTGTGAGACTTTACACAAAAATCCCCTTGAATTCAGCAGGGGTTTTTCAGGCAGTTTTGCTGCGCTGGACAGGGAGCTGCTGGCATCAGGGCAGCCTCTCACTGATGCTGTGGTCACTTCTGTAAATCCAACCTGCCTCGCAGCAACGTGGGAACGAGCTTAACCTCCACGCAGCATCCAAAAACGGGATGGAGGAGCATCAATGTGCTGGTGGCACCGCAGCAGGCGGCCAGAGAAGCACACCCAGAGCTGGGTCAGGCCCAGAGAAAGCATCCAGCTGAAAACCAGGGATGCAGGATGGGTGCCTTTGCTCTGCCACAGCCTCCCCCGGGTGCCTGGGACCAGTTCCTGGGTTTGACCCTCTGTGATCATGAGACCAACAAGCAAATACGGCAATATTGACTTGACCTTTGTGTGCCCACACTTTAATCTGCGGTTTTTGAGACTGATATATTGGAAAATACATCTCTCCAAAATCTGGGAACCAGCAGCAGATGAGACCCTGCTGCTCCCCTGAGGCATCCCAGGGGCAAGCAGCAGCCAAAGGGGTTTGCCAGGGTATGGGAAGACCCCAGAGCAGCACTTACTGGTGTGAGCCAGTGCCCACAGCCACCCTCGCCAGCTCATCAGCCAGCCAGCATGCCTCATCTTGTCTTACTCAGAAAGGCTGGGGTTGGGGTTGTTTTTAGCTTGATTTTCCTCTGTTTTGGGAAGTTTAAAGGCTGCCACATGCCTCTGTGCAGCCACCCCCAGCTGTTTGCTGCCCGGCTGGAAGTCGTGTCAGATCAGTCTGGACGTCATGTCAGATCAGTCGTGGGGTGCTGGGGCAGCCTCGGGGGTCCAAACCATGCGCCCAAGGCTGCTGGCCCTGGGGAACGCCCCATAGCCATTCCCTTTGGACGCACACACAGAGCGGGAGCAGAGGTCCCAGGGCTGCCCCAGCTCCTCCTAGGGACAGGGGGGGACACACAACCCGCTGGCCTGAGGACAAAAACCACCGCCTGGAGACGCAGAGCTCAGAGCAAAGCTTACACAACACTTTTCCCCACCAGACGCAAGGAAGCTGGAAGTGACCTCGGATGCCCCTGCTGCACAGGCGAAAAGCAGAGCGGCCACCTCCCCCCCTGAGCTGCTCCCCGGGCCAGGCAGCGGGGAGCTGCCTGAACACCAGCTTTGCCCTTCGTCCCTGCTCCCACGGGGTGCAGGTCGTACGAAGTCACCCCTCGGGGGTCCCACAGACCCTGGGGCTGCAGGAGCTGCTGCACGCAGGGGCTGTCCCGTATCGGAGGCTGAAAGCAGACCGGAGCAGGAAGATTTGGCACCCTTAAATCAACCCCTGCCAGGGTTTTGTTTGCCTCCAGCAGGAACGGGGACCTTGCCCCCTTGCACGCAGGCACCTGCAGGCTCTTGTTTTCCCAGTGCAGCACTGCCCAGCTACCAGGCTGACCACAGAAGGGCAGAACAGACCAGTTGACCAATTCAAGGCAAAAACCAGCCAAACCACCGCTTCGGGCAGCACAGCACACGGGCCAGCTGGGCTCCCGGGCTGCCCAGCCCAGCGTCCCCCCCTGCCCTGAGCTGTCACCTACACCCTGAGCTCCAGCCTGACATCAGACCCACGAAACGCAAGCCCTGAGCAAGCTTTCTCTGTTCCCTCGTTATGGAGGGCTCACTCTGCACCCAAATCCTTCTCCCACCCCTCACCAGACCCAGGCACTCAACTCCCACCCCATGAGGCACTGGAGCAGGGCAGGGCAGCCAACGTGCTTGGGGAACAAAGTGAGTTCAGTGCCGGCAAAGACAGGCTGTGCAGCCAAGGAAAGAGAAAAGGGTGGGAGAGGCATTCGCAGCATCACCGCAGCCAAGCCGGATCTTGCTCACATGCAAACCACACACGCACAGTGAGTCACGCTGGCAGGACCGTGCCACCCGGCGTTACCAGACCCTGCCGACGCGGCCGGAGGCTGAGCCGTGCCCTGGTCCAGCCCCACCGACAGCCGCAGCATCGCTCTGCCCTCCCACCCCCGGAGGAAGAACAACCCGCAGCTTCTGAAAAGGCCGATCAAGTTTATTAGTCGCCGCTGTACGAACACAAGGCAAACAAAACGTGTCACCGAGTCCGCGTGGAAAGGGGCGCAGTTGCGTCGAGAAAGAGTAAAAAAAGCTGGTGTGGGAATCGTGGGGGGGCTCGCCGTG